CACTCCATCTCGTGGGGGGTCGCCCTACACTTCGCCTACCGGTACGAGGCTGCCACTCGAGAACCTTTCTTCCCCATCGGTTGTCGGTTCTTCGAGCTATATGACCGGCCCACTGCCACTTCAGCTTACTAATCCGTTGGGCTATGTCGGTTACTCTGGTTCTACTGCGGATATACTCATTTCTAAGTTTATCACGCAGAGAAACTCCGAGCATAGCCCTCTCCATAGCTCGCTGAGCGACCTTGAGCTTCCTCATACGGCCAGCAGTGAAGGACCACGTCTCAGTTCCGTAAGTCATCACTGGCAACAGGCACTGGTTGTACAATTTCGTTTTAAGGTTTTGAGGTATGTCTGATGAGAAGATGTGTCACATTCCAGAGACACTATTGAGGTCATTGAGCATAGTGCTTAGGTCCTCCAGCGATTCTGCCATAAGGACTATATCGTCGGCAAATCGAAGGTGAGTGATGTACTCGCCATTGATGTTAATACCGTATCCTTTCCAGTCCAGAAGTTTGAAAACGTCTTCCAATGCAGCGGTGAAGAGTTTCGGGGATATAACATCACCCTGTCTTAAACATCTCTGCAATTGGATAGGTTTCGTACTCTGGTTCTGTACTCGGATAGCCATCGTAGCTCTACTGTACAAACACTTCAGCACTTCGATATACCGACAGTCAACTTGGCACCGCTGAAGTGACTGCAGCACCGCCCGAATTTCGACGGAATCAAAGGCTTTCTCATAGTCCACATACGCCAGACATAGTGGCAAATTGTACTTTCGGACTTCTGTACAATTTGCCGAAGGGTATGTATGTGGTCTATGGTGCTAAAGCCCTTTAGGAAACCGGCTTGTTCGGGAGGCTGGAAGTCGTCAAGTCTGCGCGCGAGACGATTCGTAATGACTTTCGAAAACAGCACGTAGACGCGGCTCAGAAGGGAAATCGGTCTGTAGTTCTTCAAGAGAGCGTTGTCACCTTTCTTGAAGAACAAGACCACCGCACTTCTGCTCCACGCCTCGGGTGTAATGCCACCATGGAGGACGGAATTAAAGAGCTTCTGAAGGACTTCAAGTACCGGTCTTCCACCCGCTTTCAGAAGCTCCGCTGTAATTCCATCCTCGCCTAGGGCCTTACCTTTTTTAAGGTGCTGGAGACCCATTCTAATCTCGCTCAGACTGACGTCCGGGATATCTTCGGAATAGTGTCGGATGAGACTCGCTCTTGGATCGTTACTCACACTTGCGTGTGGCTCCAACGATGACGTATACAGCTGCCCATAGAACCTCTCAATCTCACTCAAAATCTCAGGTGTCCCGGAAACGATGCTGCCATATTCAGTCTTCAGCTTTGACAGTTGGCTCTTTCTGGCACACAGATCTCTGGCAAAGAGTTTGGAGCCTTGGTTCCGCTCGATCTCTTCTTCAATACAAGTTGTATTGAAGTTGCGTAAGTCCCGCCGCATGCATTTGGAGATCTTTCTGTTCAGATGCCTGTATGCTGTCAAGTCTGTTGAAGAATGTAGCTTCATCTACCGTCTAACAGCCATGAGATTAAGAGTGTGATCGGAGAGTTTTTGTGTTCTTCTGCGGCGGGTCTTGCAGAACTTAGATCCGACCGCATGGACAGTTTCCACGAGCTTGTCATTCATATCGTCCACTTCATTGCAGTCTTCTAGGCACTGAAAACGGTTTTGTAACTCGAGCTGAAAGGTTTTGGGACTTTGGAACAAAGCACGAGGGGGACGGAGCGTTGACTTCATTAGACGAGACCTCTCCAACTCAACGTTTAGGTTCAGTGTGCCTCTAACCATTCGGTGATCGCTACCAGTTTTCACCCTCGCGATCACGGAGACATCACTGAACAGTTATCGTCTGGTCGTCATAATGAAGTCAGTCTCATTTTTTGTCGAACCGTCGGGGTTCGACCAGGTCCACTTCCTGTGGGGCCGCTTCTGGAAGAAAGAGTTCATCATAAAGAGTCCCTCTTTCTCCATGAAGTCGGCCAGCTGCTGGCCCCTTGGGTTCCGTTGCCCTATTCCAAATTTCCCTACTTTCAGCTCACCGTTCTCTCTTGTGCCTAGTTTTGCATTGAAGTCTCCCATTAACACCGTATATTGAGTTTTGGAGGAATGCATGGCTCTAGAGATATCCTCATACATTTCCTCCACCTCCTCATCGGGGTGTGCCGAATTTGGTGCGTAAACCTGTATGACCTTCAGCGAATACCGTTTGGTGATTCTGAGTATAAGGTACGCAACCCTCGTCGACACACTCCCGATCTTTACAACGTTGTTAACGAGAGACTTGTGGACGATAAATCCGACACCTCCTTGGGACAGATGGTCGCCCTCCCGGTGATAGAGCAAGTTGCCGAATTCGAGGATTACCGTGTCCTCCCCACTCTTCGGACTTCGGATAATCCTATAATATGCCAGCGCAACTTGTCTATCTCTTCTTCCAGCTCCACAATTTTCTCGTCAGTCCTCAAGGTGCGTGCGTTGTACGTTGCCAGGTCGAGTCGTCTAAGGTGGCAACCGAACCTCCACCGGAGAATCTTAGCACCCCCTGCCCCGCCGTTACCATGGTCGCCACCGTAGCCAGGAATAGAGGGGCCACCGGGGACTGGGGGCCGTCTGTTTGTTGCTTTGATCACTGGGGGGTATTTGCCATAGTTGCCACGCTTGGCGAGCGGGTTGGCAACCGCAGTTTTTTTATTGTAATTTTGGCTATTATCAGGAAGATGCTGCTGCCCACCTCCTGCCTGTTTCTCTTTGTAGCCTTTTACGACACCCACGGGAGGATATATATATATATATATATAGGAATAAACAATCATCTAAATAAAAAACGAAACTGAGTTCAGTGGCGCGTTCGAGATTTTTTTTAATTTACTCGTTTATAGACAAATGGAATTTAAGTTATATTTTACAATTCACGTTAATTACAGCGAAGAAAAATTTAATTTGTCTTGCTTTTCTTCACAAAGTAGTTTCCTTTGTATAAGATAACCCTCTTTACATTTGCAATTGTAATTTTAAACTAATGAATAAAAAGGATTTAAGAGCTTGGAATTAAGAAAGGAAATAATTAAGTAAATGTAGTTTGTATCTAAAACACTTAATATCCTGTGGGGACTTTAATTTAAACATTCTATCTCAGTTAGTTTTTATTTAAATCAGGTATTATTAAAAGAAACTGCTTCAAACTTGTTAACTGTCTTCTCAACTGTCGTTAGTTTTTATCAAATTTAGCTCTTAATCTGTTACATTAATTAATGATGATTTTTTTTATAGGATCGGGTGACAAACAAGCACACAGTCCACTTGATGGTAAGTGGTCACTGTGACCCATAGACATCTACATCTATCCTCAATAAAGACTCAAGATGCAGATGCGTTGTCACCCGTGAGGACTAAGATGGAATGCCTCTTTGCCAGTAAAAAGGGTCTCCGGTTCTCTACACTCACCATACGAAACACAGCAGCGCTAAGCTGCTATTTTACGCTGGTTTTCTGTGAGAGCGTGGTCCTTCCCCGGTCGAGCCGACCTATTCGTGCTACAACCATAATATAGCTGCAGCATGTCTCTACCACGTAAATATTGTGAATGGAACTCCTGTGATTACAGCGACAATCTACGGTATGTTGTACTTACCATCAGGTGAGCCGCATGCTCGTTTGCTCCCTCTCTTATAAAAAAAAAGGTTGATTTTAAAATTTGCAAGCTATTTAGTAGAAATGGGACGCATGTTTGACATATAGATAAAATGATCTGAATAGAAATCAAGAAAATTTTCAGCCAGCCTATTTTAATCATAGTACAAATTAAATTATGTTAGTGTAGGAATTTTTTTGAAGAAGTAACTACGAATTAAGTTTTACTACACAAAATCAAGGACTTTCAGACAAAGGTTTTCAACGGACATCGTTATCATCATCATTATTACAGTAGCATCTAATCTACAATCACCCACTACTGAGTATGGGCCTCCATCTAATGAATTAGAGTATAATCCACCACGTTGTAGAGCGTGGGTTGATGGAGGTTTTAGGCTTTTTGCATAAGACACGGACACTAGACAAGAAAAATGTCTCTTCTGGGTTATCGTAAATTGTTTTATCAATGATTGCATACTTTTACAAAAAAAGTCGTAGTTGTAGGTGTCGTTCATCAGACTTTTGTATATAAATCGAGTAATAATGAAAAAAAAATTTAATATTGTATAAAAATATGATACAGTTAGTTTTTTAATTTTTTTCTACCATTGGCAAATCTTTAGAATTTTCTATTTATACGGAATATATATCATCCCAGGCGGCGGTCTTCAAATTTCCAAATTTACATTCCTCATAAGTTTTGTCTCAAAGTACCGTTCTTTCTTCTACAAGCGCTATCAAATGTTCAATATGCACTTTGGTACTCATATTTTACAGTGACAGTTCGGTGAAGACAAAGTTAAAATCGAATACCTACTCTCTGAAAACTCTTTTAAAAATAAATTTATTTAAAATTTTTAAACTAACTTAAAATATAGTAGTTGATACAGAGAACTTGGTAATGGAATTGTGTCGAGGGATCGAAAGATTTGGTTTAAATAGTGTAGGAAACTAGGAGGTGTGGGTAGAGATAAGGGAACAACATTGTTCTTGGTGTTATCGTTAACTTATTCTAAGATACAATTAGGAATGGTAAACTACAATTATTAGCATATAATATTACAATCTAATTAGTTTGGCTTCTAAGTAAGTAAACAATATAAAGTACACAGGAGTTATAACATAATATAAAGGAAATACTATCTGTGACATAACACCTCCCTCCTTAGAACAAAGATTAAGCGGTTTTGCTCGATTTTTGAGTGTAATCAGCAGCTTCGTCTTCGTCTTCTGATATACAGAATGTTGTAGCATGTGGACAGTAGCACAACCATGTGGATTTGTAGGCATGTTATTCCATGCCAAGCGTTTATAACATTTATAACAAAAATATGTAAGCATCATTATCCAGTAATCGTACATAATATGGAAAATTTTGTTACATGTTTTTCTAAGAATGTAGGTTTATTATGTTCAAGCAATTTTATGTGAGTTTTTATTTGTTGTCTAACCGAGTTAAGAGAGTCGAGTTGAAGGTTGTTGAGCTGGATTGGTGCAAGTTCTGGTTGTTGCAGCTTAATTTCATATGGGACGCAAATGTGTTCAATATCAACATAGATAAAAGGATGGCTGATGTTGATCGATTTTGTGTCCTCAGCTAGGAGTGTAACAAACGCGGTGTACATTTTACATCCTTGTTCCAGAGTAATGATACCTGCTTCAGATATTTTGCCATGAGTCGTTTTGCTTTCGCATTCTAAAGAATACGGAGTCTTGCGTTGGAGTATGTAGATCCATTTGTTGTTTCTAAGAGCTTGGAAAGTATTGATGTGTGCAAAAAACGTAGTTACATCACAAACTTCAGGAATTTGTTGAATCGTCACTGTTAAGATGACTACTTCGCAAATGGGTCTGGTGTTGATGTGGTAGATGAGAAGATCCTTGCGAACTTTGGATTCCGTTGCAAAGTCCATTTGTCCAGTGAGGTCATGATGACGTTTTGCTGTCTAGTGGTACTCATGGCAAGATATATTTGTTCAGGAAGGATAGTAGAATATAAGGAAGAGTCAGGATGTAACATAGGGATAGAATATAAATGGTATAATGTATTTTTTTCGTTTTTTACTAAAGGGTATTTTGAGATATATATAATATTATTCTTATAAATATAGGTAGTAATAGAGGCAGATTCAAGTATTTTGTGTAAATGAGGTAATGCTATTGGAGCAACTAAATTTTTATTGAGCCTAGCGGGATTAGAAGACAGTAATTCTTTGGGTTATAGGCGCATAGTGGATATTATAAAAGGGTGTATTACATTCGATTTAATGAAAAGTATGCTTGTTATGACATCATCGATATCTCATTCCAAAGAAACTATAGCTTCTGGAATTTGAATTGAAACGGTGGATATTTATTCAAGAATAGTCAAATTGAGTTTGTTTATAGAGGTAAAGTATGAATTTATTGTTCTAATATCTTCGTTAATAACGTATTCATCATATGAGATTTTTTGTAATGTTTTATTAAAATTCATCATCGTTGAAGAAATAATTTGTAATTATTGTTTTAAGATATAATTAGTTGATATTTGCTGTTTCTCTTACTGTTCAATACATTCATTATAATGTTTGACATCTTTTGCGTCTGGAACACTAATGAGCCATTTCAAAATTGAACCTAAGCCGTCTTGTATTTCGCGTTTGGATCGCTTGTTGTCAGTGTAAGAATTATGTTCGTCGAGTCTAGAATCTGTTCTATGTTTATTTTTATAAATGAATTAGTATTTATAACGGTAGGTAAATTTTAAAGTGTGGTAATGAAAGATTGATAGTTATTTATAAGTCGTTTAATAGAGATGCGAGCTAGGAATAAAGGTTCAAGACAACGATATTCGATAAATTTCCACGAATTTTCATAAATTGATATTTCACCATTGTTTTCGAAATAGACTCTAGAATTATAAGGAATAAGATTTATGTGGGTATCTCCATCAACAAAAGTTCTATAGTACCTGAAAATTAAAATAAACCTAGTTAATTGTTTTGATTTCTTTTAAATTTAGTTATATAATAATACTTAGAAAATAGATAAACTTTGTATAAAATGATGTAAAGTAATAATTAAAAAAAAACAAATAGGAATATTAGTGTTTGGGTTATTTATAAGATATAAAAGATTTTCAATTAAACTAAGGGTTTTATTAGGATGTGCCATTATTCGAGAAACCCTGAAATAGATTGAAAGTTAAATATTTATGAATAATTACGATTTAGTCTTAGAATAAAATGTTATGATTATTGAATGAAGTCAACCAATGGCGATTCCCATGCACTATTTGGTTTTTTCCAAATTTTTGTATAATATAATTTTCATTAAAACCTATTCTAACAATAACATGAGGCCCGTCCCATAGGCTATTTAAGTTACTTGGATTAGGGAATTTAAGCATAACTTTTTTTACGTGGTAGAGCCATGCTGCAGCTATATTAATAGTATTGTTGTAGCACGAATGGGTCGGCTCGATCGGGAAAGGATCACGCTCTCACATAATACCAGCATAAAATAGCAGCTTAATGCTGCTGTGTTTCGTATGGTGATTGATCTTAGTCCTAACGGCTGACAACGCATCTGCATTTAATTCGGAAACGAAGATAGATGTAGATGTCTATGGGCCACAGCATTCACTTACCATCAGTGGGACTGCGAGCTCATTTGTCAACCTTATTCTATAAAATAAAGAATAAATAAATAACTCTATCTCCTACGTTAAATTTGGCTATATTTTTAATATTGCTGTCGTATCGCTCTTTTGCCTATTATTTCATTGACTCTACATTTTAGCGGGCTATGTCCCACGATACTTTGAGTCTTTCGTTTAAATCTCGTAGGTAGTTATGAGTTGTGTAGTTGTCGTTTGTTCTTAAAGAATAAAGAGTACGCAGTTTGTAACCAAAGAGTAATTCATGACGTGTAAATTTTGTGGACTGATTAATTGATGTATTATGGCACATAACAGAAAATGGCACAATTTGATCCCAATTAAATTGATTACATTTGTGGTACATTCGGATGTGATCGCGTAATGTTGCGCGGAATCGTTTCTAATGAACCGTTAGTTTGAGGATGATATGCGGTGCTTACTGTGTGGTTGGATCCTAGTAATTTCATTAATTGTGTGATCACGCTATTTAGAAATTCTGTACCTTGATCGGAATGGAATGTTGACAGAAAATTAAAAGGGATTTGGCTACTGCAGTTGCTTGTTTGTCTTGAAAATCAGCAAAATCAGTTAAGTCATCTTGTAATGTGACTATATATTTATTAACGACATTAGTTATGTCTGAATAAGAGTATTCAGGGATCAAAACGCATTTTGAATCTTAATCGAGGGTAAATGTAGATTTCTATGAGCCACAGCATCCACTTACCATCAGGTGGACTTTGTTTTCGTTTGTCATCCAAACTTTATAAAAGAAAACATCGAAATGTCCATAAAAGTCTATTGCTGAACGTAAGCTTTCTGTCATTGCTGCCGAATGAATCGTAGGGAGAATTTTGCCATAGTTACCGTGATCGGTAGGCGGGTTGGCCATAACAGTTTATTATTTTGACTTAGGTGGTTGCTGCTGTCTATCTCCTGTTTCATTTTCTTTTTATCCCTGTAGCGAATATACTAACACTGGCACAACACAATCTCTTTGTATTTAATAATATAATATTAATTAAACTGATTACATAATGTGACCCTTTGACGTATTATTATATTACGTTAAATTGTCAACGTGGCCTCAAATTACAAATAGAAACCAAATACTGACTCGTAAGTACTTTATTGCTGAAAGTCACGCCAACTTAGCAGCCCATTAACTTTATTGAAATTAACGTTTAGAGCACTGGCTAACGGCAATGATCTCTTCCTTTGTTCCCCAAAAATAAAGTAATAAAATAATAATTATAAAGCTTCTAAAGTAAACTGTTGCTAAGACGTAGTGTATAGAAGAGGTAGGAATATTTTAAGTTCCGAATTTACAATCTGTCACTTTGATTTTTTTAGTTCCTTGAAGCTAGCTTATAAGTTTTGATAAAAGTTTATTTTTTACCCTTTTGTGTGAACTCAGGAATATTTAGGCACAGAGTAACATCTAAAATATCGTCTATGTGGTTACATTAAAAACTTCATCGTCTATTTTGGAGCAACCTCTGAAATTTAACTTACTTTAACCTTTCTGTAAATCACTTACAGCTTAGATTTAAGACATTATCTATGTAGTTATTTAAGTTTTAGTCACGTAAGTTTTACAATTGTCTAGTAAGTAAGCTTATTAATGTCTTATTGCCTTTTATTTGAAGAATTCTTGTAGTGTTTGTTGTATACTTATTAATTATTGTCTGTATGCTTATAGAGAATTATTGTATGTAAAGACGTATTAAAAAAGATAGACAGGTTACCCACTTACATTATTGTATTTTATAGTGGCACAGGTAGTACTATATCTACGGTTATTTATTACGTCACGTTGCGCTAACAAAAAGAGACAAATGATAGGCATACATATCGTTAGAAAAAGATGAATATACATCATTAGCTGCTTATTGATTGCTGCTGAGCGCTCATTGGCGCGAGCGCATGGCATACCGATATAGAAAATGAACACACTAGCTAGCGTCAAAGTTTACACTAGCGTAGCGGTTAGTGTTGAAATAATAAAACCAATTATGAACAAAACATCTTATATTCACAATATTAGTGAGACATTTTTCTTGTCTGTAACAGTTGCCGTGTAATTTGTGCACCACTTAAAACACAGGAAGGCATTTTTGCCATGAATAACTAGAAGATTTACGCGCTGTAGCGAAGGTATAGCCACGACACGAGAGCGTACCCGACTGAATGCGAGTCGGGCAATTACCTGACTTTCTTAGAGCCATTTTAGAGCGAATATGTCGTATCTATACTTTAAAAACATCTTATGGCGCGTCTCCACCAAAGTTTTGTTGTCAACACAATATTTGTCAACACTTGTTGCCGACAAATATTTCTGTAATTATCTAGTTTTAGTAACAAAACGAAACAATGTCGGGAATCGTGTTTCCATTTTCGACGGCAACATCAAAGGAAAACGCTTGTTGCCGACATTTGTTCTCCTCCAACATTTTGAAACATTTTTGGAAACAAATGTCGTCAACTTTTGTTGATTTGTCAACAGTTGGAAACATAAATGTTGTCAACATTTTTGGTGGAGACGCGCCTTTAGATTGTATGTCGATCAACTGTGTGACACTCAACACACACCTCCCACTCCTCCCCTACTATCCGCTCATTGGTCGAATAAAGCACGTGTGTCTCACATACGCCCACATATGTTGTACTACGAAAGACACAAAATAAAAGACGCGCTGTGGCCGACCTCTAACATTACTCGCTCAACAGTCATCTCCTTATCACGTCACGCTGCCCTACAAGCAACACTCCACAAAGCAGCTCTTGTTTCTTAAAATAATAGTTTCATTTAATTTCCCAAACACATCTATGGTCAAGGAGCAGTCTACATCTGAAAGAATAGAGCAGTGCAGAAAAGCTCCCATTCCATTCACTTTCAATAAAAACCATTAAAGTTTATCAAAGTCGAGTGTTGAACGTAGGCCTTCCATAAATTGCCTCATATTTGCCATATTTGCCACCGTTGGCAGGCGGGTTAGCAAATCGCATTTTTTATATTTCTTAGGAAGACTCTGCTACCCAAATGTATTCTACAGCCACTACACGGTAATTTTTTAAATAATAAGGGTGACAACCGAGCACACAGTCCACGTGATGGTAAGTGGTTGCTGTGCACCTACAATGCAGATGCTTTGTCACACGTGAGGACTAAGATGGAATGCCTCGGAGTAAAAAAGGTCTCCACTCAAAGGTCCAGACCCTGTACCAGTAATATAGCTGCAGCATGGCTCTACCACGTAAAATAATTAA